CGTGGACAGTGGGAAAGCCGAAAAGGGGGGCTCGCCAAACCTGCCCTCTCCCCCTCCACCCCGGACGGCCGGACCTGGGGACCGCACGGCGGACGGGGCGGGTGGCCCCCCCGTCCCCACCCGGCGCTGAGCTTGGCCTGCGCCTTCGGCTTTGCAGCGGCGGCGATTCCGCGCCCCCAGTGCCCCGGGCGCGACTCCCACCCCCTCGCGGGCCTGCAGGAAACGCTGGCCTGACCTAGGCAAAGGTCTCCCCGAAGGCCTGCCCACGGCCCGTCAGACAGGGACATTAACTTGGGATTTACTAACAAGTGCTTTAATTCATAAAACGCAGAGGAATGAGTGGAGACCGTTCCTAAGCGGCTCAGTGGTTATTAAAGCGGTGTTTATGAGATCAAAAGCTTAAGATGTTGTCTTACTATAAAATTCATTAAGTGGAGAGACCGGAATCACTGAAGATCCACTGTTAATGGCCTAACAGGGCAGATAAACTAGGAGAGCAATGGCCAGTTTATTCAGCACAGGTTCCTTGGTCTTTAAAGTAAGAAATGGATGTTCCAACACACTTGCTGCCACATGCTTTTATTTCACTCCCACTGCAAATTCTCTCTGAAACACTTTTGACTGAACTGAAAGCCTGTGTTCTTCCTGGCACTGCATCCACTTTCCGTGCCCTGGTGTATTTTATGTAGAAACATTCCAAAGGTTTCCTTAACATAACATGGGAAATAAAAAGTTTAGGATCCAGGCAGGCTTGAATGTAAATTCTGCTTTTTTATTTACTAATTATTTTGACAGATGATTCAGTGTCTTAAAGCACCAGTTTCGTAACCTCAGCACATTTTTTCCCCTGAGGAAAAATCCCAGATATGGAAAACCTACATGGACAAATGTGTTCATTACAGTTTTATTTCTACTAGCAAGAAATTGGAACCAATCGTTTTAATTATAGGATAAACTAATTGTAGTATATTTAATGGGACATGACAGGGATCTGCAAGGATCCTGCATGTCTTGGTCCCATTACCTCGACCTCATCTACTGCTGTTCTCACTCTGTTCACTCCACCCACACGTGGCCCCTCGCTCTATCTAGAACACATCCAATATCATCTTGCCCCACAGCCTTTGCTTTAATTTTATTATTGGCCTAACATTCTTTTATGCCTGCAGTCTGCTTGGCTAACTCAAGCATCTTTAAGCATTTGCTCATTTTTCTAACTTAACCTACCCTGACTGCACTTTCATACTATAACTTTTGTTTTTGCTTGGTTCCAGATACATACACAGTCTGACCCCTGCTCTGCTTTTCTTTTCTATAGTATTTATCACCTTCTAACATATTATAAAATTTGTTTCTTTAATTTATTGATCATTTACTAGTATTTAGTCTTCCCTTCTAGAAAGTAAGCCTGAAGACAGGGATCTTTGTTTTGCTCACTATTGTATCCCAAGTTACCTGAACAGTGTCTAATATATAATAGGCACTCAGAAAGTATTTGTTGACTAAATGAATGAGTAAGCCATTAAAAATGATCTTGATTGACAAAGTAGCAACCAGAATACTTTTATGAAGACAAAAGGCAGACTGAGTATAGAAATTGTAGTAGTAAATGTTCACAACTGAAGATTACCACTTAAAAGTCGTCTCAGATTGTATTAACAAATTAAAACTCAACTGAAAAAAAAACATATAAAAGACAAACCTAAGGCAAAATGACACAAAATGTATATTCAGTGTATTAGTCAGCTCAGGCCGCCATAACAAAATACCATAGATTGGGTAATTTAAACATCAGAAATTTATTTCTCATCATTCTAGGCAGGGGTGGGGAACCGTTTTTCTGCCAGGGGCCATTTGGATATTTATAACATCATTCATGGGCCCTACAAAATTGTCAACTTAAAAATCAGCTATGAAAAAAGCTTCTAGATTCATTGGATTTTGAGTCCCGCCTGTGGTTGCCTTGGCAGGGCCAGACCAAATGACTTTGAGGGCCATACACAGGGGCAGCCGGACACTCCCGCCCCTGCTCTAGAGGCTGAATAGTTCAAGACCAAGGTGCTGGCCAATTCAGTTCCTAGTGAGGACTCTCTCGCTGGCCTGTAGATGGCCGCCTTCTCTCTGTGTTCTCATATGGCCTTCCCTTGGTGCTTTTGCACAGGGACAGAGAGATCTTGCTCTTCCTCTTATAACACCATCAATCCTCTTTGATTAGGACCCCACCCTAGTGACCTCTTTTAACGGTAATTGCTCCTCAAAGCCTATCTCCAAATACAGTCACTTTGGGAGTTAGAACCTCAACACATGAATTTGGGTGGGGACACAATTCAGTTGATAGCATTAAACAAAGAGAGATAAACCAGAACAAAATAATGCACTTCACAGAGGAAAAAAAGAGATTGAAACAAGTTAATTGCCTATAAACAAGGCTGTGTCTTTTCTGAACAAAGACTTAAAAGCAGGGTCCAACTAAGGAAGAGAGAAACCCACAACAGAAGTTCATGCAAAACAATAAAACGTTTTTTAGATGTGAGCTTGGAAGTGTACAAAGTGATACATATATTTTCAAAATGTTTTAAAGATTTTTCCATGTTGTTCAGTGACATTAATTTGAGTATGAAGAGTAGCAGTTCACTTGATTTTCTTCATGTGTATGTTTTTTTAGATGTTCTCATTCCGGAGGGGAGGGACGTCTCGAAACATCTTCTGCTAAAAATTTAACCGATATAGGAATTAGAAGAATCTTCTCTTCAGAGCATGACATTTTCCGGGAAAGTGTAAGGAAGTTTTTTCAAGAAGAAGTGATTCCTCATCACACAGAGTAAGTGGCACATTTTTCTTTAAACAAATGTACACTGGGAGTACAATGAGGACCCCTTATTTCCTAGAATGCTGTGGTGTTCTGTAGAAAAAATATTGTGTTCAGTGCTTTATTAACTTTTTTTTACTGTCTTCATTATAATACCGTAAAATCACAGGATTTTTAAGCTAGTTCAGAGCTTTGGAAATGAAATTTAAACTTTACAGTTCTAAGATAAGAAGGGCTGTTGGTCAAAAGGTACGAATTTCCCGCTATAAAATAAATAAGTCGCGGGGATGTGATGTACAGCATGGTGACTATAGTTAATGCTACTGTTTTGCATATTTGAACAGTGATCCTAAAAGTTCTCAACACAAGAAACAAAAATTGTAGCTATGTATGGGGACAAATGTAAACTAAACTTATTGTGGTAATCATTTTGCAGTATATACAAATAACAAATTATATTGTACATCTGAAACTAATATAATTTTATGCAATATAATTGACATATACATATATGAGATATAATTGACATATACATATATGAGATATAATATGACATATACATATATGTCAATTATATCTCAATTTAAAAAAATTTGAAAATCTACAAATCTAAGAATAATATGTTTGAAAACCGGTGAAGTGGTAATAAAATATCAGTTTCATATTCTTTCTTTTCCTGCTTCATCAATGAATTAAAATATGTAAAAGCTCAAAAGACCAGCATCATGCAAATCTTGGTAGGCAACTAGCTACCTCAAGGTATTTTTATTACTGCATGAGATTAATTAATTTATGATCACCTACCATATTGACTAAAAACTGTCATTTCTATTAAAATAGGATTTTGCTAAGTTTTCAAAATTTACTCAGTGCCGATACTTTCCTACAATTGGAATGGTTTTTAAAAATTATTTAGAAATAGCTTCCATTAAGTTTTTATTAACACTTCTTGGTAAGACTGACCAAAACTAGCTAAATTGTGGTGCCGTACATAACTAGTCTTTGGTGAAAAGCAGCTAACTTCTTAAGGACAGAAGAAAGGTAGTATATTTCACTCTAAGAGAATTTTTTGTTCATTTCTGACTCTTTTAAGTTCCAGTCCAGAAAATTGTTGATGAGAACTCGAAGTAAAAATGATAGATGTCGACAAATTGGACTCGATAATAAAAATATTTCCAAAGCTACTTCAGGCAGTATACAAACACACCAAAACAACACATGGCAAACTCTTCCCTTTAAAATTTCTTGAGGTATCTGTATTTCCCTTTAATCAGTATCTTCAAAAACCTGTATGTTACTTACTATACCTAACTACCACTTTTTTAAAAATTCTCAGATCCTTTAACTATCTCCAGCCAGCCAGATCTTTCATCACTGCATTCTCATTTTTAAAGAAGAAAAGCAGAGGTTGCACAATCCTGTCCAAACATATCCTTTCGGAAGTTCATTTGGCAGAGCTGTGCTGCAAGGCCCTTCTGCTCCTATTTAAACAGTAACAATGGTGACTGCTCTTGTCTTTATATACACTTATCCCATAAGTTCAGCACTTTAAGGAAATGTGCAGAAGGCAGTTGTCTTTATGGGACAGGTTGGGCAAATTCCATGACAATATGACACAACTAAGCACACCAAGAGTACCAGCTGAGAGGGACCGCGCCCAGGAAAATCAGTGGACAAAACTCGCAGGTCCTTTAAATGGTAAGGGTGTGGAGCAGGAAGAAGTGGCGGATATGAAGCAGTGAGGGAGGGAACAACAAGAGGAGAAATAAGAAATGAGTCAGGTGCAAATAGAAGGCTTTGGGCGACGTTGACCACAATGACCTTAAATTAAAAGAGCATTTCTGCACAAAATCGTTCATGGATTGCAATGGTCACCTTTTAAAATAATATATATATTTTAAAAAGGCTTTTAAAACTTTTGTTATTTGCAGGTGGGAGAAAGCTGGAGAAGTGAGCAGGGAGCTTTGGGAAAAAGCTGGAAAACAAGGACTGCTCGGTGTCAACATTGCAGAGCGTCATGGTGGCATTGGTGGGGACTTATACTCGGCCGCTGTCGTTTGGGAGGAGCAGTAAGTATGGGGACATTTGAATTGAGTCTTGTTTGTAAGCACTCTGCTCAACGTTCTGATGATAAAGAACGCTCTCTAATCTTTTTATGAGATTGAAAATTCAGTGTGAAGTGTGAAGGTTTATACCACCCATATACTCTTGCAATTTATTAAATGTAGGAAGGTAGGAAAATCCCCCTTTATGTTCTTTAAATAGGTGCTGTTGAAAATTAGATAGTTTCATTTGTAATTGACCTATTTGGTTATTTTCCTCTCTTTTAAAAAGATTTGAAAGAGCATAGGAAAGTGGAAAAATATTTCCATCAAATATACTAAAAGTTTAAAATACAAGAACAAATAAAGATTTTAGTTGATAAATGGGCAAAAGATTTAAACCAGCAATTCAGCAAAAAAGAAATGCAAAGCCCGGCCAGCGTGGCTCAGCAGTGGAGCATCGACATATGATCCAGGAGATCTTGGTTCAGTTCCCAGTCAGGGCACATGCCCGGGTTGCGGGCTCAACCCTCAGTAGGGGGCATGCAGGAGGCAGCTGACCAATGACTCTCCCATCGTTGATGTTTCTATCTCTTTCCCTCTCCCTCCCGTTGAAATCAATAAAGACATATTTAAAAATAAAAATAAATGAAAATGAAATGCAAATACATTTTTTAGGTGAAAAAAATTCATCCTTACTACCAATCAAATGCAAACTAAATTAACTGGGAATATCATTTTGAGTATCTCCAAAAGTTAGTGAAAACAAAAAATTGTAATACCCATTGCTGACAAGGTTGCAGTGAAAGCGACATACTCATATACTCTTGGTGGCATTATAAAGTAGAACAATAAATGTGAGGATTAAAAATGTGGACGCATATAAAAAATGAAAATATTTCTGCTCTTTGATCCAGGATGCCACTATGGGAAATTTATCTTAAGGAAATAATTAAACAGGAAAATATATCAGCTATGTAGAGAAATAATTATCATGTTAGATTACAATACCCCAAATTTGGAAGCAACCTGAATGTCTGGCAATGGGGAAATGAAAAGATAAATGATGGTACATACGCAACTTATAATATTTTGTAGCTATTGAAGATTATTATTACGACAACTACGTAAAAAATTGGATTTTTTCATATAATTTAAAAGAAGACAGGTAAATGCAAAATTCATACTATGACTGCAGCTATATTAGAATATATTGTTATGATAAAGGTAATTTGCCAAAATGAAAATAGTTGCTGTGTTAGATAATACAGTTGTAGGTGATTAATGTCTTTAAATGTTGTATCTTTTAATTTACTAAGTAAGTTTTCATCGAGCTTTATTAGAGTACTATTATTATGTTAGAGCCAGAAATGGGAAGAACAGTAAAAACTAAGAAAGCCTTCAGGAACTTTATAGGTTTGGGGAGAGACAGGCTATTATAACAGTAAGACCTTTAATATTTTTTGTTGTTTTAATTCAAAATCAAAGAAACAAAAAACAGAACAAAATAACTATTTTGTGCTTTAACTTTTCTTTTCTTTTTTTTTTCCTAAGAGCATATTCAAATTGTACAGGCCCAGGTTTTAGTCTTCATTCAGATATTGTCATGCCCTATATTGCAAACTATGGCTCAGAAGAACAGATTAAGCGCTTCATCCCCCAGATGACTGCTGGGAAATGTATTGGTGCCATAGCAATGACGGAGCCTGGGGCCGGAAGGTAAACGATCACTCATTTGGTTTTGAAGTCTAAGAAGCAATGCTCTGATAGCAAATATTGTCTACTTGCCTCATACAAAACCGTGAGCAATATGCTAGGAGGAATACGAAGAGGAATACAGTGTACAGTATTCACACCTTCAGGTAACTTCAAACTCCAGTAGGGAAATAAGGCTTTATATGCAAACAGCGATAGAGCAGATTGTCATACCTGCTTGAGATCCTGTTTACATAGTGCAATGTAAGTAAAATGGTAAGATATGTGTTGATTTTGGACACGATGAATTTTAGATGTGGTGTGGCATTCACACGGAACTGTTCGGCAGGCTCTTAAAATATGGATTTGGAACTCCGGACATAGGCTGGAGTGGCAATAGGTTTTAAAAGCCTTTCATAGAAATGAGTAAGTTTATTTATTCAGTCATTTGGCAGTTACTTAGTAAGACCTGTGAGTGTGCCATGTATACAGTGGTGAGCAAAACAGATGCAGCCTATGTTCTTATTGAGGAGAATGACAAATAAACATATATTCACAATTATAAATTGTGATAAGTACTATGAAGAAAATGAGGTACTATGCTAGAGACTAATGGTGCATGTGAGTTCTATAGGGAAGGGAAAAACAAACTTAGATATGAGTGCTAGAGAACGCCTATTAAAAAGTTGTTATATTTACACTGAGATCTGATGAGTAAGAAATAACTGGTTACTCAAGAGCGGGGTGAAAAACTTCCACGTGATGGAACTGGCTTTTAAGGTGAAAAGTGAAAGGGTGCTAAGCTTGAGTATTATGTTTGCCTTAAACCTGTGCCAAAAAATATGGCAACAGAGACAGAAGGACTGAGTTTGAGGGAAATCTAGACAAGTGTTCCTTCATTGGCACAAGAGGAAGTGAGTTTGAAAAGGCCGTAGGACCAGGCTAGTTTATGTGATTTTAAATCATATAATCATTTCTATAAATGATCTAGAATATAATATATTACATACAAGGTTTTTAGTGCATTTTTGTGAGCATTTCTCATATTAAAGATCAGTTTTTATAATGTTGGAGCCAGTTTGAATTATCGTATTATATACGTACCTAACAACATTGGCGTACCTCAATTTTTATTAATTAATGACATTTTTACCCTTTTTTTCAATTCCAGTGATCTACAAGGAGTAAGAACAAATGCCAAAAAGGATGGAAGTGACTGGGTTCTGAATGGCAGCAAGGTGTGTAAAGAGGGGCTTTCGTAGCCCTTCTCCCAGAGTCATGCCATGGGTAACGGTGTCTCGACTATTGATTATTGATTCTGTCATACCTAGGGAGACTCACACAGGAACTGAGATTATTTCAGTTCACACAGGAATTGAGTTGTCCTATTTTGGAGACAGTTAGAATTTTGCAACATTTATATTACATAATATCTGTTCCATTTCTGTGTTTCATTTTGCATGCCCCCTCACTAATATAGAAAATATCATCAAACCAGAAAAGGGGAAGTGAAGGCTCACATTGTCCTAAATATGGGACAAACAATAGTTAATGAATTTGGTGGTGATGAGAAACTGGGGAAAACGCTTTCTTGTATTATCAAGAAGAGTTTCCAAAGATCTTAGGAGGGAGAGAGAAATCTTTGATAGAATTTGAGAGCCCTTCAATCCTTCTGAAAACCACATCAACCCACTGATAAAATTGGAAAGCTTCTCCAATTAAGGTTACAAACAGGCTTGAGAGTAAACATATCCCTTAGAATCTAATATCACTGATGGCAGAGGATTTGTTTACCTAAAACTGTATCCGGTATACACTCAGTAAATGTTCCTTGTTGACTGTTTATTTCACCTCATTTTCTGTAAGGCCTGCATAGCCTTCATTCTTTGAAGCATTGGGTTATTTTCTTTCTACTCTAATAACTTTACATATAAATAATTAACGCTTCGGATACTTGGATAGAATATAGAGTTATAATACATGTCTTGTCTGATTTAGTCTTATTGTATATACTTTCCCGCAATCATGACTTGCACATGGACTTGGGTTATTGAGGAGCATCACATTGTGCTTGGGTTTTTCAGGTATTCATTACTAATGGGTGGATGAGTGACGTCGTGATTGTAGTGGCGGTCACAAATCGTGAAGCTCGCACTCCTGCCCATGGCATCAGCCTTTTTCTGGTGGAAGACGGAATGAAAGGATTTATCAAGGGACGAAAGCTACAAAAAATGGGAATGAAAGCCCAGGTAAGTCATAATATAAGTCATGTTTAGGTAATAACAAGTTACTCAGTTTTTATTAATAAATTATTTGTAAATAATTGAATTTATTTGATTATGCCTTACAGATAGAACTGCATAACGCATAATCATACCTTCCAAAGCTGAATTCTTAAAATATACTTTTCAGAAATGACAATGATTTTTTTCACCGTTCATGCATCTTTATCTCTTTCTGGTGGTTGGCAATGAAAGTGAATCAGGATGTTTTAAATATCTGCTTTGAAATGGCAAAATTAACTAAATGATAATAGGCCATCTATTTATGAAATTGATTAAAGAAAATTATGAAATAAAAACAAAATTTTTTCTATTATTTTACTACTGAAAAGAAAAACATTTTACTTAATAAATATGCATTAGAAACCCCAGTCCTCAGGACCTACAAAACTGGGCAATATTGGAGCTAGAATGATGGTGTATTACAGTGGAAAAGCTAGAAGTTCTGGAATCAGATGAACCTGGCTTAGAATCTCTGTTTTACCACTTACTAATTGTGTTCATTAACCACTCCAGCTTGGCTCCCAGTTTGGTTTTTCAATGGAAATAATCTCCTTATCAGGTTATAGTGAGATTTAAATGAAATAATTCTTTACTTAACTCTATGATCTCTTAGGACACAGCAGAATTATTCTTTGAAGACGTACGGCTGCCAGCTAGTGCCCTCCTTGGAGAAGAGAATAAGGGCTTCTATTACCTCATGCAAGAGCTTCCACAGGTGAGAAGTATTAAGGATTCAGTCTTTTAATTAGATAATAGACTAATAGAATAATATAGAACTATATCAGTCCATCCATACAGAACTTGTGGTATAGCCAATTCTTTGTCTATAACTTAAAGTCTTAAAAAATATATGAATTTTGTAAGCTAGACAAGTAAATAACTGAACTCGGGGATATTCAGTCAAAGCTTGTAAGTGACTAGGGAAAACAGGTATTTCAGTTCTTTGATTCCTTCTTGGAATGATTTTAGCTTCTGAACCACAAGTCAAGAATTTTTATCTCAACCAAGGTGATTTCCTCTCCGAGAGGCCTAATAGTGCCCTCTTCAGGAAAGTAGCAACTTGGAATGAAATCTGGCATGCCTCGGGTTTTCAGAGGAGATGATGTGTCATTTCTTTTGCCTTTCTTTGGCTGCCTGTGTGTATACTTCAGTCCCAAGTTCCTTCTGGGTAGATTATGCCCTCTTCTCACTCACATGATGAAGGGAAAAAGAAAAAAAAGAATTTTTATCTCTTTGTAAGGAAATATCAAGCCAAGCCATTGGCAGTTTTTTTTGTTTCTGTTTTTAAAATAATACCTGGAAATTAAAGGAGAAAACTGTTAAGTTCAGACTAAATAGTTTTAGCCACATAGGGTTAGCCCTCACATCTGTGTTGTTGGATTATGGTTGCTGAGTGATCATTGAGCCTTTCAGGCCAGCATAAGAAGCTGCATCTGTCTAGTAACCGCCACAGTGGGCTAGATATGAAATTGGGGACAAAGGCTAGGATCACTAGCACAGAAACGGAATATGAAAATTGCCAGCAAGATGGAATTAAACCAACTGTGAATACTTTTACACTAATAGGCAGAATTTAACCTGTGCACTTTAAAATGATGTTTTCCACAGATATTGTGGGATATGTGCTGTGCAGAGATCAATAAATAAAAATCAACAACTTCAGAATTTTTTTTCTCATAGATGAATAAAGAGAAGAGGGAATTTAATAAATTATGTATATATCTATATATAGCAAAGACAATCAATCATAAAAATAAAGGATTTGTTTTAGGGAGCTATTACAGATATGTCAAAATATTCTTATAGAAAGTTAAGAAATAATTGGAGTTTTATAAAGATTATTTATGGATTTATTTTCATTGAAATTATGTGAAAATCACTTGTGTAATTAGAATAATGTCCAAGACCTAATTTTTGTTTTATAGGAAAGACTTTTGATTGCTGAGTTAGGAGTTTCAGCCAGTGAATTCATGTTTGAAGAAACTAGGAACTACGTTAAACAAAGAAAAGCTTTTGGGAAAACAGTTGCACATATACAGGTAAGTTTGTTGTCATTGTTTAGTATTAGATGATACTAGTTTACCCTTCTGAAATGCGTCTAGGTTCAACATAAATATGGAGTAATTTTCATTGAGGTGGTATTAGAATCCATAGAAGTGGATGAGATCACTGAGGGAGAGAGACAGTAAGAGAAGAAGAGATCCTAGGACAGAATCCTGAGAAAAAAATTACAGAATTTAAAGGTGAAATAGGAGAGTAAGAGCATATAAAGGCAACTGAAAATTAACACCTAAAAAGGAGAAAGCAAATAAGGCAGGTGTCACAGAAGCTGAGAAAAAAGAGAATTTCAAGTAGGAGGAAGTAGGGCCAAGGCTGCTTGGAAGGAAAATAAGAGGAAAATCAAAGAGTGCCTGCTGGACATGATGATATGGAAGTTATTTTGTAAGAGCCATTAATGGACTCTCTGGGGCTGGTGCCAGACTAGAGTGAGTAGAGGAGTAAATGGAAATGAGGAAGAAAAGATACTGATGGCAGGCAACTCTTTCCTGAGTTTCACTCTGAATATTAACTGGAGAGAAGGATGGTAACTGGAAGGGCAAGATGAGGAGGGTGTGGAGGGAGTGCGGGGAGGAATATTTGGCGTTAAGTGAGATATTTGGAGATTGTAAATTTTTTTTTATTATTACTAGAATGAAAATGCTGGAGCATATGTCAAGAACTAGAAAAATTATTTAGTAAAGAGGGAAAGATTGTAGGTATGAACCAGATAATTAACTGCATATGATCTGTGAGAAAGTTTAAGACTGTAGGTGCCAAAGCACATGGAAAGATAGGCCTTCCCATCCCAACAGCAGAGGTGCTTCCTCCATTGTAACAGGAAGAAAAGAGGAAAGGATGGGCATGGGGTTCAGCTCTATTGGTAGAAAATTGCAAAAGCTCTCTTCTGAAGACTTGCATTTCTTTACATAATAATAGAGAAGAAAGATGTGAATGAATGAGGGATGCCAGTGTCAGAGAAGAGTAAGGGAGGTTTGAAATACCCTATTCTGAGTGAAAGATTGAACTAACTAGAGAAACATGGTGATCCTGCTATCAATATTGAGGACCCAGATGAAGTTAGTAATCATGAATTTATAGGGGCACCTTCTGCTTTTTTGTGTATCAGCTTTTCTAGAAGGATTTAGCTGCCTAGGTTCGAGCACAGAGAAAGTGGATGATGGTGTTTAATTAAGTTTAGGTTTTGCCAGGAAGTCTAAGGTGTTTTCAGAAGAATTCAGTATATGGTGGCCATGACCACTAAATATGCCAATCAAATTTTAGATCCTCTAGTGTCACCTTAAATGAAGGAACAGTTTATAAACAATGCAATTGTCAAATTGATAAAACATTTTACCAGCAAAAATCCTGAATTTGGAAATCTACTTGAAAAGTTTTAAGCAGAATTGTAACTGAACACAGGTTTGGATGCCTGCCCCAAAGAAAGCCACACTCATCAGTCAGGTGCTGGTGAGAACAAAAGTGGTTTATTCAAGTGCCAGCAACCTAAGAAGATGGGGACTCTCGTCCCAAAGCCCATCTTAACATCTCAGTGTAGGCAAGGGTTTTTATCAGGAGGGAGATGAAAAGTAGAACAAAGAAATCAGGGGGTGGGAGGTTGAAAGTTCTCTACGTATAAGTCAGCATAGTCCAATGATGATCTCAAAACTGCTCAAGTGAAGGTCCAGTTTTTATTGTTGAGAGTCAGCAAGTCTCCTGGAGCCAGAATGTTTGGTTGCTGTAGTCAACCTCCTTCCCTGAAGCTAGTTCCTGTAATATGCTCAAAAGGCTATTAGCAATTTTTGGCAGGCATGACAAACCAGGCTTGTGCTTTAAGGCATACCTCCTCTTCCCTGATTAGGGGATAGGCATTGTTTGTTATATGTTATTTAATCAAGAAGGTTATTTTGTTGGTTAGCATAGGATTTCACATATCCTCCATAATAGAATGACTTGGCTGAAAGGCTTTGTGAAGGCAAAAAGGAGAGATGAAACACTTTGGTAGCTTTTTAGAATCAGCATTATACAGAATAAGTCAGTTGTGGTTTAAATCCTAGCATAGCTACTTGAATTTCTGTGGTCAAAGCAAGTTGTATTATCTCCCTTAGAAATATTTTCTTGTTTTTAAGATGTGAATAATATCACCTCATAGACTACTGTGAGGATTAGATGAGGTAATACACATAAAGTGCTCAGAATATTGTCTGGCAACATAAGCACGCATTAAATTAATTTTTATCTCCCCTTATTTAATGTCTTCTTCCATTTTGTTCCAATAAAGGGAGTCTTCTTTATCAACTTTTCTTGTTCCTGGTTTGGACCACCTCCATGTCATTTTGGGACCTATTTGCTACCTATATGTTCATCAAGTAAACTTTTTCCATTCTGAAAAAAACTTCTTTACATCCTAACTTTCTTATTAACATAACAGATCTAAATACAGTTGTTCTGAATTAGTAAAAATGAGGCACACACCTAATCAAGAAAGCATTTTTAAAAACAGTATGATTTGACCTCCCTAGATATTATACTTTATATTCCCTTTCATTTATGTATTACTGATTTACATATATCAGTGACTCTCAATTACTGCCCCTTTCCCCCAGGCATTTCAAAGAGTCAAGGAGGATGGTGCAGAGACTGGCGATGTAAGCCCTGAAGGCCAGTGTTCTTAAATGTTCTGTAATTCAGAGATCGCTCTATATAACAACTAATTGTCTCATTCAAAACGCTAGCAGCCTCCCATTGAAAAATATTGACATACATGATTTATTTCTGTTTCACTGAGAAAATATGTATTGATTGCCTTCTAAAAGTTATGTCCTCAGATGTAATGTCATAGATGTGACTCTGGAAGTACACACTGTAGGCTTCTAGCAGTATGAAGGGAGCGATACCACTGGGTGTCACTCTGTGACTTCCCAACTGTACCCAAAATGAGATTAGTGTCCTTTGTTTCTGAAATCCATCCACCACCACTTTTACATAAAAAATGTTTATTAAAACACTGCTTCCTTTAGACTTATTCTGAATACTGTAAAAAAATGAACTAAATAGACACATTTTTCATCCCCTTGAAAATATACAATTCCTGTGTTTGTGGAATTCATATCAAATCACAACAAAGATGACTATATTTCCCAGATTGTAAAATTCAGAATGTTAAATGTGGTTTGGCATTTCCTGGACATTAAATGTGAAGGAAATATTTATTAATATACATATATATGCATATAATAGCAAAAAGAGAATAGTTTTAATCCTTTTCAAAGTAGGTGCCTTTTTTAGATTGACTTCTTTCAGAGGTCGTTTACTAAAATTTCACTAGGGGGCAGTAGCAATCTGCTTCCACCAGTATATTATGGACACAAGCAGCATCTTTCAAGTAAATGTATTGTTTTGAGATTTCTGCGATATTTCTTCTAATTTTCCTGTTTTATCTAGATTAAGTATCTTTGAATAATATTATCATATTCAATCTAGAAATTTAATGTATTCAGAGAAGATGAATGCCCAGTACATACCTCCACAGCTTATTCTAGAGCTGGATACACTGTTTCTAGTTATTAAATTGAAATAGAAGACTTTTAAATGCCATATTATACTTAGCCAAATGTCATTTTATGAGCACAGAACAATTCCGTTTTCTTTCTATTTTTTATCCTTGAATTTTGAAGATTTTGGTCCTTTCTGACCATTTGGATGTATTTCCCCAAAATTTATTTTCTTTTTAAGATGGCGAGCTACTATACTTAGCCCTGGCTGGGTATCTCAGTCAGTTAGAGTGACATTCCGATACCCCAAGATTTCAGCTTTGATCCCTGACCAGAGCACATACAGGAATCAACCAATAAGTGCATAAATAAGTGGAACAACAAATCACTGTTTCTCTCTCAAATCAATCAATAAAATTTTTTTTAAAAGATGGAGACCTATCATACTTAAGTAGTTATAGGATTTCTATTTTTTATTCATACTTTCCATATTTGATGTTAAGTCTTATGATTTCCCATGGAAATAGATAATAAAACAGTAAAATTCAGATATTAAATAATGATAATGACTGTCATTTATCATTATTTTGCATTGTGCTTATGTGCCAGACATTGCTAAATGGATTGTCTCATTTTTTTACAGCAACTCTAAATAATAAATATTATATGTATCCTTATTTTACAGATTGAGGCATAGAGAGGTTAAGTAACTTGCCCAAGATTACACAGATATTCTAACTCCAGAACCTACACTCTTAACTCAGGCACTAGTTTTACTACCTGGACATTAAGGTAGATAGACTTTTTTTTTCTTTTTCCCTACCTTCATTTACCCATGTTCAATGAATTGAAAATGTAGTGTTCTTTTCGAATGCACGCTTTAGTTATTTCCTGGGTGGTATGTGCTCTTGATTCTAAGGACACAAAGTATTAGAAAAAGGAATAAGAGAGGAAAAAAATAACACTTCTTTCTTATATTCCTCCAATAAGGGAATATCCAGTTCTTAAGACCTTGAGTGTAGGATTCATTAACTACAAAGTTAGATAGTAAAACCTAAGATGTTATATTTTATATTTCAGGCATAATATATGAGAGTACAACTAATGGTGTTTAAGTGGAATACCTGGCTCAATAACTTTCCAAGGTGTCTTCCATTTCCACAATTCTACAATTCTGAGAATTTTGTCATCCAGAACTCTGAAAGAGACTCTTGTCTGGTCTACTTAGTAACTTCAGGGAATTTTTTTTTTAATGCAAGCTGCAATATTATCTATTAGCGACTGTTAATGAATATTAAAAAGTGTTGTATGAGCATGTTGATCATTCACAAAAAAGCATCTTGCTAATAATGCGTGGTACAATTAGTAGCTGGCATTCATTAGAGAATAATTTCTAAAAGTATGACACAGTGTCTCAAGAGCAAAGACCAGATCTGCGTAGTAACACCCAAATCAATACCAAGAATATGTAAATATTTAATCTCTTTATCTCCAGAGGGTAAATTATGTACTCTTGGAGGCATTAATTCCTTCAGACCTCTGGATCTCACTGAATGTGCTGACACAAGAATTCTAAATGAGCCCATCCCAGTCTGAAGTTTAACTTCAGCCCCTGGAAGCTCCCAGCATTCCCACTAGAACAGCTCTCCTATGAGAGAGTGGGGCTTAGAGACCTTGATTCTCTCCCATAAATAGTGCATACATTCTCAAATGTGCCATCCACAGCGGTGTGGGTAGGGCAAAAATATCTTGAGACTTGTCAGGTTCCCCCTTGTTTTCCAAATGAAGTGTCATTGAACTAAACCAGAAGTAGGCTCAGATCTGAGTTTCAGGGGTTTTCATGGAACATATCTTCATCTGTTCCCAACGTATAGAAGAGTATTTCCCCACCTTTTTTCATTCCTTGTTTCATCTTTAGTTTTTCTATGAGTAAACTTAGATAGGTGGGTGGGAGTGGAAAACTTTGTGCTGATTAAAGGGTAGAGAGTTGGCCTAATTAAATGAATAGACAGGGAAACAGAAAAAGTAATGGAAAGAATGAGAAGAGAAGGAGGGTTTGATGTTCTGAATTAGAGGCCAAGGTACAGAGGTGGGAAAAGTGTGTCATCAGCCTTCTCACTGCTTGGTTTTGGAATCGTTAGATGCCAGTCACATTGTCTGTTTCTAGAACAGGGTGGTATAAAATCAAGGTAAAGGCAGTCGGTTGGGTTTCTCATCAGCACAGCAGTTATGAGGCTACACTCACGAGGAATCTGTCCATCAGCGTGCCTTCTCCACCTGACACACCCAGGTCCTGCCTGGTCCTGGGTCTAACTGGACTCCTTTTCTTCTCTTTTCCAGAAATGGAAAGTACCCAAACTTTCCCCACCACAATGATACTGAAAGGCTCTGTTTTGTGGCTTGAGAATTGTCGTAAGCAGTAATTAAGGCAGCAGGCACTGAGACTCTGGTCCCCAGAGCCTTCCTTTGAGAACTCAGTCATGGCTTTGGACTTGCCAGCGTATAGATGGGTTACATTTAATTTCTAGTGTAAGTTTCACTGAGTCCCCTTTGTCACTAACTTCCATGCCTTTTATTAGCCACAGTGCAGGTCTCGAGCAAATATTCCACAGCAGAATGATCAGAACTCTATTTCTGTCTGAGTTTCCACAAGGAAAGCTGGACTTTGAACCTAAGAGGTCAATTAATGCGGTGTATTTTTGGAGGTTACCCAAAGTGGAAAGCCAGTATTTCAAATCTAAGCCAGGTTCTGAAGGAGGTTCAGGGGTTGGTGCCACAAAGGCCAGGTGTAAACTTAAAGTTCAAAGTATGAGAGCCAAGAGCCAGGACTGCAAGAAAATTTGACTGAAGTGAGAGTAGTTGAGAATGATTGAGGATGGTCTAGATGGGATGATTTCCCAGAATACTGTTGGTGGTCTATGGCCAGCAGGAGGCGGTAGGTAGGCATATTAGTGTTGACACGTCCTGGCCATTCGGTTCAAGCTAGAGAGACTGTTAGACAAGCTATTGAGAGAGATAAGAGGAAAGGTGGGGAGAATTCAGAAGAGGTTGGGGGGTGCTGGACTCTGATCTCTTGACATCTCACTTCTGTTACTCTTCTATTGCATTTTACAGATCTAGATTAAATACTTTGCAATATGACATACTACTTTTGATGTTATCACTCTAATTTGTTACTTTATTACTTTATTCCAAGACGAAGAGGCAGAAAGGAGAAATGTGATTACTTAATTTCAATAATAGGGAAAACTTCATGGATTTAGATTCCAGAAGAAAATAGTTTTCAACAGTTGTACCTACAGGACTGTACCACAAGATGGTGCTCACCCATCAGTCATGCTGTTTCTTCAAGAAGCTTCCCTAAATGGTCTAAATGTTTAAATCTAAAACATAAGGTAGTTATGTATTTATTTTCGCATCTTTCCTTTTAGTACAAGTTTCCTTGGCAATGAAATACAGTGGGTTTTCAATTTAAGCTCTTTCATTAACATATGCCTGTTTCTTTGTTGGGGAAAAAACCCAGTAATTCCACTTTTGTTTTGCTCGAAAATCTGTTATTATGTAACTTTTAATATGCTAGGTAGCTCAAAACATACTCTTCTACTGTGCTCATTTTTATCTCTCATTTCCTTTAAATTCAAGACGGTGCAGCATAAGCTAGCAGAATTAAAAACACACATTTGTGTAACCAGAGCTTTTGTGGACAGCTGTCTCCAGCTGCATGAAAAGAAACGTCTGGACTCGGCCTCGGCTTCCATGGCGAAATACTGGTATGTGTGCTACAGTAATTAAAACGTGGTGTTTGCTCAGACTGTTATGGTGTTCTTCCAACTTTAAAGCCAGCCTTGAGGGTCTTAAAGGAAGAATGCTGGGTAAATGAAAACTAGCAATAACAACCAACTTATAAAAAAGGCTGAAAGGTCCCATTAAGATTATTTATAATGTGCTAAAAATTACTCCAGTTGGTATTAACTTTTAGCATGCCATTGAAAATAAAATACTGAGAGACTGAAGAAGGATGACTGATTAGTTTGTTTAAGTTTAATTTCAAATTATCTGAAGAGTAGCAGTATAGTGAGACCAAAAATTTACAGTAAAACTTCAAGTCCTGAAGTAGTCCCAATACTTTCATTAAATAACGGTCATTAAATTTAATTCTGTCTGAGACAACATTTTGATATCTGTGAAATGAGTAGCTTGGACAAGATTTTCCTATGTAAGGTATTTTTCAGATCAGAGAAAAATTTCTGAAGACTTGACTGTCCAATCAAAAGTTGCACATGCTCTATTAAGTGAAAGGAAAAAATCTACTAAGTTCAGAAGGACTTTCATTTATATTAAAGATGATTAGCAGTGGTTTATGAGTTGATTGAAAAAAGATTCCTATAAGGTTTTTGTGTATTTTAAGATGTAAGAACATAGTTTAAATCAGATTCTGGACATGGGTTTGGTTTCCTCTGTTTTAAAAGCAAACATTCTCACATCTCATTAGCCCAAAAATAACCTAGAAAAAATTCCTCTCATTATTCATTAACCTGTGTTCAGTTCAGTCAGAAGTAGAATGGGAAATATGCAGAATAGTGCTTCATGTAGTGATTCCAAAATAATAGAATTGCCAGGTTGATGTGAAATTATTAGGAACTTGCACTTTTGGGGAAGTGACATATTATTTCTATTTCTACTTCTATTTCTATTTATAGCAAGTTTTTTGACTAGTTTAAAAAGTGTAAAAATAACTTTAGATATTTTTGGGAAAAAAGATATTTGGATAGCTATGGACCTCACTGTTCTTGAAAACACCTGGTTTATAGACAGACTGGTTTTTCATATTGAAACAGAGGAAACAACTAATTATAGCCCAAAAAATATTTCACTAAAATAGTTGCCAAATACAAAAATTTATAGAATCCCAAATATTGTCAGCCTTGAGTCTTGTCTGTTAATTATTATATTGTTATTGTATTTGGGGGGAATATCCTCGCCTGTCCTATGACTTAAGAATTATTTTTAATAGAAAAATGTGCCCATGCTTACCTTTGCTTTGTTTCCTGTTATTGAAAAATAAGTTGAAAATAATTTTGAACTAACTTATCTTTTATGTGACGATGAATAAAAATCCCTTAGTGATAGTTGACATTATTGTGATAAGATCAGAAAATAATATTTCTCAAGTATTTCATATTAATATATATATACTTCAAGGACAGTAATTCCCAAATAATCTTTAATAAGTCTCCTATATGATGGCATGCATTTTAATAGTAGTGAGGCCTCAGGTTTTCAATTTTACTTTCAGTTTATTTCTGAAAATCCTAAAAAAAAAAAATGTTTTTCAGTTACTTGAATTCAAACTTACAGCCTTCAGGTAGGAAGTGACATCTTTGGAGAAAAAAAAGACATAGTTGAAAGGCAAAAGGAAATGGATGGCTGTATAATTATACAGTTAACTTAGATCATATAAAGAATCTAAATAAAGTAGACCAAATTCAAGTTTTTACTATGTCCCTTTCAGGCATAAAGTAGCTGAAACCTAACAGCCTAGGCTTTCCACATTTTGTATCTAGCCATAACAAAAACTCAGCCAGAAATATAATTGATGAAGAAAGTATTCATTAGGTGAAAATTCTCCTGAGATTTATTTCATATGTAATTTACACACAATTACAATTATATCTCTGGTTGGCAATTTTTAATTGTTTGATAAGTGTATGCATTCGATAGAGAATTTGTTTTCTGATTGTGAAGCACCTCATGCAAATCCATCTCCAATGTCCTTTCCTCTTTTTCTTTTCTTCATCTAGGGCATCTGAATTACAAAACAGTGTAGCTTATGACTGCGTGCAGCTCCACGGAGGCTGGGGGTACATGTGGGAGTACCCCATTGCAAAGTGAGTATGGCTGCTCTCTTACACTCCTCTGGATGATGTGAGGAGAAAGGAAAATCACTGTACTTTGTACATCAAAGGGAAGGTGCAAAATCTGCATTTTTCAACTGACTACAGAGTGTATTCAAGCTGATGGAAACAGCTTTATGTTATTGGCTCACCCCTAGGATTTTATCATTTTTAAAGATAGTGAGAAGACCATTATTCTAAAGCTTGATGCTTGGCTTTATTTGAATTGTTACACAGGACTAATACCACGTTTGAAATAGTTGAGGAATGTTATATTTTATAGAGTAACCGTAATTATTCAGGTTATTTCTAGTCTTCTGTGACAGACAATGCACAGCAAACACGCTTTTACATTTATCTTAGGTACAAGTGTTTTCGATCCCAACAGGATAGCGTCCACAAAGTAGTACTGCTAGTTCAGAAGCGTGGCCCTCGCAGGTTGGCATAGTGGCTGGAGTCGGCCTGCGGGGCGATCCCCGCCGAGGGCACATGCCCCAGTCGCAGGCTCCATCGCCGCCCTCGTCAGGGGAGGCAGCCAGTGGATGTGCCTCTCTCACGTCGATGTTTCTCTCCCTCCCCCCTTCCACTGTCTCTGAAAAGCAATGGAAAGAATATCCTCAGGTGAAGATTAAAAAAAAAAGTCAAACCAAAAAAAAGTATGCATATTTTAAATTTTTATAATTTCCACACTATTTCCTCCAGCTAGTAGCAACTCCTAGTCAAGTGAACAAAGCCTGATGACTTACCCTCCTAAGCTATGAATGTTAGGGCCTTTTAAACTTTGTGCTCTCCTAATGGGTAAAAAAGTAGGCTATTGCCCGGCCGGGCGGGGCTCAGCGGTGGAGCATCAACCTGGGATCTAGGAGATCACGGTTCGATTCCCGGTCAGGGCACATGCCCGGGTTGCGGGCTCCATCCCCAGCAGGGGGCATGCAGGAGGCAGCTGATCAATGACTCTCTCATCATTGATGTCTCTCTCTCTCTCTCCCTCTCCCTTCCTTTCTCTGAAATCAATAAAGACATATTTAAAAGGAAGAGAAAAAAAGTAGGTTATTATTCTTCCTTTAATTTGCCTTGACTCTTAGCTATTTTATTTTATCCCACCCTGGTAAGAACACTTAGCATGAGATCGGCCCTCTTCACAGACTTTAAGTGTCCTCTGGAGTATTGTAAACTGTAGGTACCAGGTTGTGGTACGGCCCTCTAGAGTGATTCGTGTTGCTTATTGAAACTTTAAGCCCATTGATTAGTAACTCCCCATCTTCCCCTCCCTTCGCCCCCGGCCACCGCCATTCCTCGTTGATTCTGTGAACTTTGCCATTTTAGAGAAGTCACGTAGGTGGAACCAGTGAAGGGTCGGTCTTTCTGGGCCTGGCTCTGTTCACCCGGCAGAATGCCTTCAAGGGTCTCTCGGACCGCCTCATGCTGCGTTTCCCGGTTAAGGTTGACTAGCGGCCCACTGTGTGTATGTGCACTTCCCTCATCCGTTTATCTGTCCGTGAACAGCTAGGTGGTTTCCACACCCTGGCTCCTGTGAAGAATACTGCAGTGAACTGCGAGTGCTGGTATTGCTTGCAGGTCATGATTTCAGTTCTTTTGAATAAATTCCTACCAATGGGACTCCCGGATCGTACAGTAGTTTCATTTAATTTATTAAGGACCCTGCATGCTGTTTTCCATAGCAGCGACGCCGTTTCGCATTCCCTGCAGCCTCAGGCACGCGTCCCAGTTCCTCTACCTCCTTGTCAGTACTGGAGGTGCTATCTCATTGTGGTTGGATTTGCACTTCCCTGATGGTTAGTGACACTGAGCATTTTTCATATACCTGTTGGTCGATTATATGTCTTCTATAGAAATGCCACTTTTTTAAAACTGAAAAAAAAGGGAGGGGAAGGCCCTACAGAAAAATCAGCCTGCATATGAAAAGGACCTATGTTTTTGTATCTTAAGTATTCAATTATTTTTCTCTAAAAAAACAAGCCAAAAGTTTTAATTTTTTTCAAATAGAATTTTATTTCCTTTGAATTGAATTAAATTAAATTAAATACACCTTTTTAGGGTATTACATATGAATATTCTTGTTGTAAGTTCAAAGCAGTACCAGTTTGTCAAAAGGCAGAATCCTCTCTCGTATTTCTTCCTTCGTCTTCATAATTTCTTCTTTCCCTCTTACCTCCCCATGGCAATTCTCCTTATCACTTTAGAAAATATATTTTCCTCTTATTTAGCAATATTTTCAGTTTATAAAATTTTCCTAAGGAAGTTTTTTGCTATATCAAGAGAAATCCAATTTAGTTCTGAATCTGAGAATGAGAAAGCTGTGGACTCCTAAACACTTTTTCTAATTTTAATCTAAATACAGATATCTAAAGAAAAAATTAGCAAAGTAGTATTCAAACTAACTTTCAAATTTGTCATTTTGGCAAGCATAACTGAAAACATTTGATACACTTATAGTCCTACATGAGGAAAATAAACATTTTGTTAAAGTTNTCTGAATCTGAGAATGAGAAAGCTGTGGACTCCTAAACACTTTTTCTAATTTTAATCTAAATACAGATATCTAAAGAAAAAATTAGCAAAGTAGTATTCAAACTAACTTTCAAATTTGTCATTTTGGCAAGCATAACTGAAAACATTTGATACACTTATAGTCCTACATGAGGAAAATAAACATTAAGAATAGAAGCTTCAGCATAGTTGTAATTTACTAATTTTATGTAGCCATTGGGCAGCTCATAAAGCTTTAATCACAGGATATATATAATTTATAACCTTTTATAAAAACTCAGCAATAAGTAGAGCTTTTTCCTTCCTTGGGAATGTAGGCATGAAGTAGCTAAGTGATTCCTTTCTTTAAAATCAATCTTTGGATTTGGATCTTGGTATATCCTTTTAGAACTACTTCAAACAGGCCTTAATCAAAAGCAAATTTATTTTTTTATGTGTGCATAGTCATGAAATCAAAAGTAAACACTGAGTTATGGTAGCACAAATTAAATTATCACTGACATCTTACCTGAGCATTTTCATGTTTTACTCACAATATTAATCTATTCACAATACTCACTCTGCTAGGGCAGTAAAATAATAATGGGTGTTTACATTTTTCTACTCAACTGTGCAGTTAGAGCTGCTGCTGGGACAAGTGGTGGCTCAGTGTTCGTCTGGTGTAGTTCAGGTTCTGAGAGAGGCACAGTAGGTGAAGAGGAGCCAGCCATGTGCACGGCCCAAGCGGCCATTCCTTCAGCTCAGCAGCAGGCAAAAACTGTGGCTTAATGGCTCAATACTTGAAACCCCTGGACATTTTTTTTTTTTTTTTTTTTTTAATATATCTTTATTGATTTCAGAGAGAGGAAAGGAGAGGGAGAGAGAGAGGTAGAAACATCAATGATGAGAGAGTCATTGATCGAGCCCGCAACCCGGGCATGTGCCCTGACCGGGAATCGAACCCCAATCGCCTGGATCCCAGGTCGACGCTCAACCGCTGAGCCACCAGCCGGCCGATTTCCCCCTGGACATTTTCAACTAGACTGCTCTTTTTCTCCCCAAGACACAGGGAAGGAATTTCTTTATAAAATAACAAGAGAGAAAGTAATAGATAATATATTTTTTTAAAAGTTACTAGACACATTAGGCAGTATGTGGGTGTGTTCAGACTGTGATTTAATAGAAACAAAATCGTTCTGTTTGTGTTTCTTATGTCCTCAGATGAAGGTATATTTTGTGTGTGTGTGTGTGTTTCTGAGTCTTGGTTTCACAGATAAGAAAGGTGCTTGTTTTGTTTTGTTTTGTTTCATTTTATTTGTTTTTAAGGAACTACTCTTTAGCATGCGTTTCCTTCAGTCTTATTCAGCAGGCTTGTGGCCTGTGAGAGGTGAGGCTTAAATTCATCTTTGCCGTTCCAGGATTCTCTGCCATGCTAGGAAGAGCAGCCTGAGATGTAGAGCTTCATCATCTGTGTGGTTAAACATTTATTCTGCTGCCTTTCTCTGTTAATTTTAGTTGATGACTTAAATTAATTAGTAACCTATAAAAGGTCTACTGATCTCTGTCATTGCCAATTCCATTGGAACTTCTGTAATGTGAAAAAAAAAAAAAATGCCCAACCCAGTCTAAAAATGTCTAAAAGCACCGAGATTGCTCAAGCAGACTGAAATGCTAGGCGGTCCCCTAAATGCAAGGGCTGGGTTTTGTGGGCAACAATGGAATCTGTTCGAAAGAAAAAATATCTATTTGAAAACACCAATGCCTCTAGATTTAAGTTTCTTCAGAAAGTTGGTATTGAGACACTGAAATTCCTTTGTGATACAATAAATCAAATCTGTAAATATTTACTGAGTGCTTACTCTTTGCAGGGTCCCATGATGAGTATAGAAGAGGAAAAGTCCAGAATTGGTCATGTTCCCAGAGAGCTAGCTCATTTCATGTCTCAAAAATTCACTTTAAAAAACAAACAGATTTTATGCTTGAAAAAGAAATGCCTTTGAACTTATCTACTAGTAAAGTCCAAAGCTCAATAACTAGTCCTACATGCCTGTGTCAATGAAAATATTGTGATATAATAAAAAAGATACTTGCCAAAGTGGCAGGATACCTACCTTCTCATTCCAGCCTGCCAATTATCTATTTGACCATTAACTAGCAACCATTAATTAGTAGTAAATGTATTAACTTCTCTGTACCTCAGCTCCTTTACCTGCAAAACAATGTAATATTTATTCTCCCTGATCCCAGAGCTGAAAGGGTAAAGTGAGACGAGAAAAGGTAAAAACAGCTACACAGTGAGTGTCACGGTTACTGTCATTGCCACCAAAAGTGAATTTTTAATAACTTCTTTTTCCTGTTAGTGGACTCAGCCACTCAGTATTTTAACCTGATACATTACTGGAGTGACTAGTAACCATTTCTAAAAAATAAGTTACTTGTTAACTTTGTGGGAATAATATTTTCTAAAGCATCAGTTTATACCCCTGATGGCAGCAGCCGTGGTGGGAATCTAAAGGGATGTTAGAAAATATATACTTTTTTCTCTCTTATTTTCTACAAAACCAGTGGATTTCAACTTCTTTGAGAATCATTAAAGATAACAAGAAATTAAAACATTCTATCAATATCTAAATCTAAATGACCTTTTTAAGAATGCTATTATATGTGCTGAATTTTACAAAATTAAACCAAACAGAACCTTATAAATGTTATTTTGAGTTTGTAATCTCCTCAAGCTAACTAAAACAAAGGTATACAGATGATCACTATCTTAACAGAATTTTGTAATTATACCAATCGAGAATGAAAATGCCATACTGGGAAAAAAATAATTATGAAAAACTTTTATTGTTTGGATTTTATTAAATGAATACTTTAAAATAATTAATAGTTATGTGGTGAGACAAAATTTCTAATATCTTTTATATATTTGTTCAATCATCTTCTGATTTATCCAGAGCTTACGTGGATGCCCGAGTGCAGCCAATCTATGGTGGTACCAATGAAATAATGAAGGAGCTGATTGCCAGAGACATCATCCGAGACAAATAGACATCTGCCCACATCCTGGAATCCTATTACAACTAATCTGGTTTTAAGTCTGCTCAAGATAAAATGCAACCTGGAAAGGGAGAAAACACTACACATGTTTTCAAATGTTCTCTTATAGAAAAAAAAAAAATTCAAATGCAAATATAAGATTAACACAATGGGAGAAGAAATCTTTGAATCCAAAGATTCTAAAATTCTCTGACATGAGGTTTAACTTCTAATTTTTATATAGCTAAAAGGCAAAGATTTGCTGATTCTAGAAGCCTTAGTGTTTCATTTTTACTCTAAAAGTCTAAAAAAAATAATGCTTCAGTCTTTAAAATTGAGGCAGAAATAATTTTGTTATTATACTACAAAAACATTAATAGTATTTACAGTACATTGGCTTTGAAAGGAAAAAAAATTTATAATTTAGAATAGTAAATCATTTCAGCTATTTTTTGCTCCAAATTCTCCAGAACAGTAGAACTCCACCAGCCTAGCCTAAGCCTCTGTTTTTAAGTAATGAAACCCTTTCTTCAAACAAAAACTTATGCAGAGAGTCGCTGTAAAATGGTGATGAATGAAGAGCTGCTCCAGTTGAATCAGGAAGCCTTCCTAGGACTAGCTAAGCATTTGCCTAACCCTGCTGGACAGTGCTGTTTGTTCCCGCATCTGCTGACACCTGGGCTTTCAACAGATTTCCATCTCAGTTTTATCGAAGAACATAGAATAATCCATCATCCTCTAGCTTAAAGCTATTGGTGTATTTTATCAGTATCAAAACAGTGACTTATTTTGGAGCAGTCTACTTTTTAAACTAATTTAATGAATACTTTGTGCCTTTTATATGCCAGGCTGTTAAAAATATGATGACAAATGAAACTGGCAAGATGCCTACTAATAAATAAATAAACAATAAGTTATAATAAATGATGTAAGAAATAAACAAGAAAATTTCAAACCATAAGTACAATGAAAGAAATAAACATTTCAAATAGTAAAGTGAGGAAACCATATTTAAGACAAAAGTAATTGTCATCATAAAATAAACCGTTAATTTAATTTGTAAACTGTTAGCATCATTTCAATACTGTTTTTCTTTGTATATACTGGTGAAACAGTGAATAAAGTAATTTTTAAATGGAAACAAATATATGTATTCTTGGTGTTGTTGGTATTAAACATTATTTTTTAATGCAGTGATTGCCAGCTTGAGTTCTTACTCATATACATTAAATACCTCGAAAATGAATTAAAATATTTTATGAGATACTACTGTATTTGCAGCTTTCACCTCCTTCATACTACCAGGAAACAATATAGGATCGGACGGACCAATCCTCTCCCCTCAGCACCTTTCCCTTCCTTTCCCAATCTTAAAAGAAACTAGATTTTAGGAATACAACATCTTTAGGATGCAAAGCAAACGAGCGCAGTAGAGGAAGCCTGCTGTGTATGTCGAGGCAGACAGACCTGGGTTTGAATGATAACTCCATTATTTAGGAGCCATTGGATCTTGGGCAATTTCTTTAACTTCTTAGGATTGTTTCAAGTGCAAATGACAAAAAGAAACCCAATTCCCACCATCCCAAGCAAAAACTTGAGTGTGCTAGTTTGAAAGGGTTGTGGAGTAGCTCATACCATCTAAAGGCCTGTAGGAACTCGGGTCTCAAGGGCCTGATTCTAGGGGGCCTGCTAGAACTTCCCCTGTATACACGTATTTTTACTTTTCTTTGCAAATTGGCCTAATGGACACTGCAAAGAAGTTTCATTACAGTGCCTATAAAAATGACCTTCGGCTGTTCCCGCCCACATCCGTCAGTGCAATGTCGTTATAAGGTAGGGGAGAGGAGCACTGTGACTGACAGTCCCATCAGGAACACAGGCTGGGGAAGCAGTTGCTGAAGCAGAGGTGGTATTATCAAAAGAAAGGGAACAGAAAGGTCTGCTGGGCGGGCCTAAATCTCACACACACACACACCAAACACACACACAGAGCCATATTACAGTCTGCCGAGCTAGGAATAGGTTCTAGTAATATTTATATATATCAGAAACTGAAAGGATATCTAAGGTAGGATATTTTCTTGGAATGATCTCTGGGTGTTTTCTCTCCCTCCTAAACTGGTCGTTAATCTTGCCAGCTAGTCTTGTTCTGCACCCCCCAAAAGAAGCGTGTGTTATATCATGAGCTTAAAGCTGAAAGCAAAACAGCGACTTCGGAATGAGGTTCTTGACCTTTCATTTGGTTTTCATTTCCTAAATAGCTAATCTTTGTGTTTTGCTTGTGCGGCTTTGGTGGTTGTCCCCTAGGGAGGGAATTTATCGTCTGTATCTCACACAGTGCTAAGTGCTCAAGAAACAATAAATAACAATAATGCTCAAAAGAACAGACTGAACCAACACGGCAAGGAAGCCACATTGCGTCAATAATTAACGAGAATCAGAAAGCTCGAGTAATTTTGGTTTTTTTGGCTGAGACGTTTAGAATCATAATTATTGCTTTAAAATTATTTTTACCCTTTATTTCCTTGATGGTGTCATTGAAATGACATTATGATAAAGAAGCTGTTTTGATTTGCTATTATAAACTCTAACTGCAAATCTTTACTAATCTAGTAATTTTAGTAGTTTATTGCTCAAAGTATAAGATTTCTAGGAGACTGGATTTTTTCACATGTCAGTATTATTTTTGGCACACACAGCATTTATTTACTTTGAGTCACTGGAAAGATTTGACATTGCGATGGAAACCAACCATAGGCCTATCACGTCTACTGCTTTATAACACATGTTGGAAAGAAGTTCTCTATTTTTGAAACCTAATTTTCCATTTTTAAGAAAAAAGTTACAGAAAACTTCAAACATACTCAAAATAGAAAGATAGTATAATGAACCTCTAGCTTCAACATTTGCCAATGTATCTCCCTACCTTTTTCTTACTTATTTTAAAGCAAATTGCAGACTTAATCCTATTTCTCACACACACACACATATTTCCGAATACATTTCTAACTGATGATTTTTTTTTGCATAACTACAAGGCCATTATCATACTTTAAAAACTTAAATTTAATATTTAGTTCCAAATTAACATTAAAATGTTCTTGGTTGTATCAAGAATGACTTCTGTGGTTAGTTTGTTCAAACCAGGATCCAAATAGTCCACAAATTACATATTTTTGTATCACCTCTTAAATCTCTTTTACAATAGTCCTCCCTTTTCTCTTTTTTCCTCTCTCTAAGTTTTATTTTTTAAATTAACATACAGCAAATCCTCCCCCTTTTTGGTTTACATACATACAGTAAAAATGCCTTTTTCTTTTTCTTTTTTTCAGTTTTCTGAATTTTAGCATGTGTATAGATTCATGCAACCACCAACACAATCAGGCTATATAACAATTCCGTCACTACAAAAAGTCATTCATGCCTTTTATAGGCACTCTCCCAGCACCTCTAACCCCTGGCAACCACTGATCTGTTCTCTGTGAATTATAACTTTGTCATTTTGAGATTGTCATATAAATGGAATCATAAATAGGTAACCTTTTAAGAATGGCTTCTTTCTCTTAGTAAAATGCATTTAAGATTCATTCATGTTGCATGAATTAATAGCTTATTTCTTTTTTAGTGTTAAATAGTACTCCACTGTATGGATTTCCCACGGTTGGTTTATTCATTTGCCTGCTTAAGGAAATTTTGGTTGCTAAGATTAAATACCTAGGAGAGGAATTGTTGCGTCAGAAAGGCAAATGCATGTTTAACTTTATAAGAAATTGCCAAGCTGTTTTTCCGGAGTGCCTGTACCATTCTGTCTTCCTCCCAGCAATGTAAGAGTTCCAATTGCTCTGCATCTTCTCCAGCACTTGTATTTTTAAATTTATTTTGTTCTAATAGATATGTGGTTTTAATTTGCAATTCCCTAATGTCTAATGATAATGAACAGCTTTTCATGTGCACATTGGCCTTCTAAGTATCTTCTTTGGCGAATTGTCTGTTCATTTTCTAGTTGGGTCGCTTGTTTTTTTCAATACTGAGCTTTGAGGATTCTTCACATATCCCTACACTGTCAAGCACAAGGCAAAGCCAGGCTGACAGATTCAGCCAGTAAAGGAACAATGAGCCTTTTTGAAACTCAGTTTATTGCTTACACGGAGAGTGAAAAGATGAGTGGCTAAAGGTGTCAAGTTTTCTGTGGCCTTTGCACAGGATGACACTGAAACAGAAGAGGCCAGACCTTTGCACAGGATGACACTGAAACAGAAGAGGCCAGATGACTGCAACAAGAAGGATGGGATAGTTTGCTGCCGAGGAGCCACTGCTTGATGCTACTAAGCAGTTCTATAGCTGCAGGTGCGCCTTGAGGGTGGCAGGCAGAAGGCCTCAGACCCCAGCAGAACTCTTAATAAGAAAATGTCTCAGGACAGCCTCCTTAGTGGACAGGGAGGCAAGAGACACGGTCATGTAGCAGCACCTCACAAGTCTCCCTACGCTCTCATGTTCCAGGAGGGTCACAAGGCTGTATCTAGTCCTTTCATTCTCTTGACAGTGTGTTTTGTAGAGCAAAAGTTCTTAATTTTGATGAATTCAAATTTATTTGGTATCATACCTAGGAACTCTTTGACCAAACTCAAGTTTTCTTTTAAGAACTTTATATTGTACATTGTTCATTTAGATCTATGTTCCATTTAGTCATTTTTATAAGGTTTGAGATGCATGTTGAGGTTCACTTTTTTGCATATAGTTGTCTAATTCTTCCAATGCCATTTGTTTGAAAGAGTATCCTTTTTAAAATTTAATTGCCCTTGCATTTTTGTAAAAATTAATTGACCATATTTCTCAATTTATATTTGAGCCAATCTTACATTCTTACATTCCCATATTTGTGTGGGTCTATTTCCAGCCTCTGTTCCATTTCATTGAGCTACGTATCTCCTTCCCCCCTTTCCCAGCACTACACTGCCTTGGTTATAGTCTTTTTATAGAAAGACTTAAAATCAGATAATAGGATTCCTCCAACTTTATTCTTTTTTTTCAAAATTGTTTTCGGCCATTCTAATTCCTTTTCTTTTCCATACAAATTTTTGAATCAACCTGCCAAAGTGATTTAAACCTAATTTTAAACCAAAAGATTTAAATCTTTTCCTTAAACCTAATCTCACCAGAACTTTATCTTAACTATATCCCAAGATATGTTTCATTTAACAAAAATATATTAGGTAGAGTTCTTTTCTGTTGCAAGAAACAGAAAATTCAAGTAAAATCTGGCTTGAAAAATGAAGAAAGGGCTCACAAAACTGGGAAACTCAAAGTTAGAACAGACTCAAAGCCGACTGACTGGCCTGGCAGGTGTTGCTCGGTGGTTGAGCTTCGACCCATGGACCTGGTGGTCCCGGTTGGATTCTGGGACATGGTACATGCCAGGGTTTCGGGCTCAATCCCCAGCAGGAGGTATGCAGGAGGCAGCCGACTGATGATTCTCTCTCATCACTGATGTTTCTATCTCTCTGAAATCAATAAAAACATACTGGGGGGGAGAGCTGGTTGACTGAACAATTTGTTAGTAAGGATCCACTTTACCAGTTGCTTTCCATGTCTGTGTTCTGCCAGTTATAGTGTAGGCCTAGTTCTACAACTGGGTCTGTGGATGGGCTTTCTCGATCATGTCTAGAGTGAGAAAATGTACTTTTGTCCAGTATATTAGGCATAAGTGCTGAAATTCACTCTCATGGGGCTAGTTTTTGTCATATGCACCCCACCTCTGAAACAATGCTTGTGCTAAGGGAAGTGGAATGTATTAGTTGGCTTAAGCCAGTTAGGGCCCACTTTGGGACATGCAGGTAGAAACAGATTCACTCATAGCATATGAGCTGATACTAGCATGAAAATCAAAAAAATATTAGGAAAGGGAAATTATGGAATAGGAACCAAATATGCAACTAAAGAATACCTACTGTAAAAACTACAAACTAGATCCTGGTTGTTGGCATCAGTGCCTGGAGACTGTTGCATCTCAAATGAGACATAGTCTCATCTGTTGATGCCATTTAAAAAAATTTTTTTACATAACTTTTGTAGTAGAGTGTTTTAATATTCATCTGTGCACGTAAGACATTTATATTTTTTGATTCCCTTGTAATTGGGCAGGACC